AAAGCATCAGTAAAATGAAATGTTCACATCAGTTTAACACAGAGGCATCCGAGACCATCCTTCAAATGAAGCTACAATATTAGAATGTTGTATTCAGAAGCACACCTGATCTTTTTCCCTTCATGCAGCTCTGAGACACATTTATAACGTTAATGGTACAAATATTGCCATGAGACACTGCTTTGATACCTCATTTTCACCGTACTCTGAGCGTAGCGCACACAGCATGTGCAAAAAAACATATTTGTCCAGAAATTGCTTGTCAGGAATGAAACAATAGAAACGACACAGTGGCGTCCCTCACTGCAGCGACGTAGAAACATCTGTGTCATGCTCTGTCGAACAGTCGGATTGTGGTGTGTCGCTGATTTGTTCCAATATGAAAAAACTCCAGTTAGGTGGTTTAAATTCCATTCAGCGCTCCACATGTCTCACTGATTCTTCTGCATAACTGCCTTAATCTCATTATGATGGGATCACTGGTGTGTGTATAAACTTAGCCGCTGTTACCTTTAAGGCTGCTGTCAAATTACAACAACACACACATCCTGGTATTTTTGGCTGGATGAGGATTTGGCACGCGTCCTTCCTTAAACCAAGACTAAACCTCATTTCTTAATCTTTTAACTTCGTGAAAATGTTCTTGAAAGTTCATGCACCCTCTCTCTCGGTGTTTCTCTCGTTCAGCCGCACACACAAACACACACACAAACACACACACACACACACACACACACACACACACGTTCTTCAGCCGCCGTTGGTTTTGACGGTGTATCGGTGCATAACGTGTTTCGGTGTAGCCTTTCCTGTCCTCTTCTCCTTTTCCCCTCCTTCACTCTCTCACTTTCTGTCTTATCTCCTGCTGCCCTCCTCTTCCTCTCCGTCACTCCGTCACGCTCCACCTCTTCGCACCCTCTCGCTCTCTCTCTCTGACCACCTACTGAAAAATGAGAAAAATTATCTTGTCTTTCAGCTGCACTTTTCTTTTCCATCCATCTTAATCCACTTCATCTTCCTCTTCCAGTACCTCACTGTCGCTGTCTCAATCTGAGCGTCTTTTTTTTTGTTGCCTTTTGTCCTCTCTGTGCTGTATGTGGCGCTTTGATTTTACTCTGCCGCAACACAGCGACTCTGAAAAATACACATCTGTTTATGCGTCCGTGTGTGTTTGAGATAAGAGAGCACTCAGTTGATTCTCTGGGACAATGACATTCATTTTATTCAACCAACCTTTGTTCTGCGTGCTACACAGACACGCTTTCTGTCATCCTCTCTCTCTCTTTAATCTTTAGCTGATGATGGCGGGCTGCTGGGTTGTGACCCAAAGTTGTCATGGCGACAGATGACTGTTGACATCAAACCTGGGGGATGGCGTTTGCCTGCTATTTGTTTTTTTTTCTCTCTGAGCATATGCTTGTGTTGCACAAGGGCTGATATTCATACAAGGGAAGAATAAGTGTTTCTAGGAATAAAAGCTTTTCTAAGATTTAGGATGTCTGTTTTTCTTCAACCCCAGGTTTGTAAAACTTTCCTTCTTGCCCCACAAGATTGCAATTAAGGCCGTCAGTCACATAGAATCTGTTGTCTGTGTTTTTAATGCCAACTCCATTCACCGCTGTGTATGCCTAGGATGCATCAAGTGCATATGAGGTGTGTCAGAAAAGGTTCAGGACTGGTGTCACAAAAGATATATTTCAAACCCAAACTACAAGTTTTCCTCCTGGAGTCTAACACACTCCCCCAGCCTTCTCTGCCACGCCATCATCCTGGAAGGATTCTTCAGGGATCCTCTGCAGCTCCGTCGTCATAGCCATCTTGATGTCGTCCAAGTCTTCAAAGCGGGTCCCCTTGATGACCCCCTTGAGCTTGGGGAAGAGGAAAAAATCCCACGGAGCCAGGTGGGGTGAGTAGGGAGGTTGCTCCAGCACAGTGACGTTCTTCTCAGCCAGGAACTGTGAGATGCTCAGGGCATTGTGAGCAGGTGTGTTGTCATGGTGAAGCAGCCACCACTTGTCCTGCCACAACTCTGGCCTCTTCTGGTGCATTGAACGAAGCAAATACCGCAGGATCTCTTTGTAGACGTGCTGGTTGATCACCTGAAGGGGAAAACTTGTAGTTTGTAGTTTGGGTTTGAAATATATCTTTTGTGACACCAGTCCTGGAACTTTTCTGACACACCTCTTATAGTAGTGACTTCACTGATGTCTATTCAGATCATGTGAATGTTCAGGTTGTCCTTCCTCTCCTCTTCACCCAGGATGGACTCATGCTGTCGGGTGAAGAAGCGACATGGCGCCCGCTGAAGGAGGCTCTGCAAAGACTGGAGGAACTGAAAGCAGAGTCCAGGATCCTTTAAGTCCAAGATCCAAAAAACACAAAACATGAAGATAAATTTCTGCTGCTCACATTTTATTACTGCTGTTGTGATTGATGTAAGTTTCAGTTCTTGATTTGCTGACCAACTAGTTTGATTGCTTTAGTGTCTTAAGCACTCGCATGTATGAGTCAGCAGCATCAGTTAGATAATTCAAGTTAGCCGGTAAGTTTGCGGTAAAGTGCAGTCAATTATTAAATGAATTATTATGCAAAAACACAAATTACTTCACTCAGTACAGTCTTAGACCACAACCTAATGTACTATTTTACAAATGAACATACCTGCAGTATTACAATTTCTAATCAAAGGTAAGTTCAGGCATAGGATGTTGGGCTAAGTGCACGATTTAATAAGTAATTAAGACCCAGCTATTCTCATTAAAGTTTAGCTTAGTTGTTTAAATTCGTTGATTATACCATAACAACTTGTGATTTAAAAAAAAAAAAACACATTTTGAAATATTGAGTTGTTGATATTAACAAATTGATGCAAAGTCGTCTTCAAAAATACAATTTTTTTTCACAACATATCTGCCACTTGAATCACGTTTGGCCTTCTCGTGTGAATGTTGTTTTTCCTTAAGTCACTTTTCAGATTGGAAAGCGCTGTTAGAGAGCTGTAGTTGTCTCTTATCAGCTGCCGGTGGTGAAGTTCCCGATGAAAATCTCCACAAGCTCAGAATTACAGACATGGCTTTAGATGCTTCCATTCACCTGCAACACTGGGAGGAAGCGATGAGATACGGGGCGAAGACGCTTTCAACATACAAGTGAGTCAGTGTGTGTGTCGCATAAAGAAGACATGCTTCACCCATGACTGTCTTATATGTTCTCACATTTAAGGGAGGGGGGAAAAAAAACCATCCTCTGCCTTTACATCTGGATGCGTGCTTGGAATTAAGTGGCTCTCTGGATTTTAGCATGAACAGCAATGTGAGGAAAAGGACGACAATAATTCATCCGGAGAGTTCATTTAAAGTCCAACTCCCTTAGTTGAGGTGGGATTGCATAACTTTACCAATATAGATTATTACTTTGAAGATTTAGGCTAACCACTCCATCCTGAGGCTTCATCGTCGTCACAAGTCCTCTAGACTGCATATTATGTTACTTTAGACCAAACAGCTTTTTTCACACTGAAAGAAAGAATCTCAGGCAGATACCATGAAACGATTCAGGAGATGCACAGCAACGGTAGAATGTAGTGAGAAAAGGTTACTTATAGTAATCTGGTAGATAACATAAAATGGATGCTTTGCTTATTTCTGAGCGTGAACTGGAGAATAAATGCTGAAAGAAGCAGTAAATGTAGACCACTGAAGATGTTTCATAATGCACTAGATTTGAGTCTTTGGCCTGATAAAAGACACATAGATTTCATTCTCTTATCCCAAATACAGCCCATAAGAACGGATTGAGAAAGTTTCCATAAGACATTATATCATCATTGTAATCAGAGGTGGCTGAGAGCTCAACGCACTCCAACTTTAGAAACTATAAGCAAACACAGGAAAACTGTACAACAGTACTGACAATTGGTCACATTTTTTTTGTGGGAAAAAGCAAACTAAGAAGTGTGTTCACCAAGTTGAAGGCCCGTTCCAGCATGCTAACATTTAATGTACATTTAGTTGGTTTAATTCTTTCTGTCATCAATCATCTTATAAAAATCCAAACTTAAACCTAGTAGTAGCTTCTTTGGGAAACATAACACTGATGGTAACCCTGCTGTCATGCTTAGAACGCTCCCTGGAAAGGAAACCTGCTGTCTGCTATTAATGATGAATCTCGTCAACTGTGTCAAAATTGCAACGCTTTTACCTGAATTTAATTCATGGAGAAGAGAAAAAAGTCACATGTCGTCATGTCTGGCGAGCAGGATCGGTGGTGAGCGTCGATTGTGATGTTGTGAACAAAAGAGCCTCATGTGTAATAACCACACTGTGGCTGTGCAGTAGGAGCACCCACTTGCATCACAGTTCAGATCATTTACACCAAATCGTCTAACCAAGAGGCTTCAGGACCTCACAGTGGCCAGTCTGACCCTGCAGGGTGGATTCCTGGTGCTCCTGACCTCATGCATCTTCTCTGGTCTTAAAAACTGAGTTCTTTCACTGTGAAACCTGCTGTTTCTTCTCTGGATGACAGCTGCAGACCCACCTTGTGTCACCAGTGATCACCCTCGACATGAAGTTTAGCTCATCTCAGGCTGCAGACTGACAGAGTGTGAACGTTTGCTTTCTTCTCCGGTTTGAAGCCCAACCTGGAATCACAAAAAAAAAAACACCTGCTAGTGGTCACAAAAACCTGCGTATGACACACCTCGGTCACACCGTCTGTGAACCTCTTAATTAGAGACATTTTGAAACTGTGGTAATTTGGTTATTCAGTGCGTTTTTGTTTTTGTTTTTTTTTGCTAATCACTGATTCACAAATGAAAGACAACAAAGGTCTAATTATGTTGTAGTAAACATCTAATTGTAGACATTGTGAATATCGCATGTATTTTTAAGTTGAGTTTTGCATACAAGCAATATATTTAGTATTGTTGTTTTTTAAAATCAAGTTTTTTTTGTTTTTGTTTTTTTAAGGAAACCTCTTCCTACTGATTTTATAAATCTAATTCATAGATTGGTAGTTAAAAAATGTACATTTATCCTTCCTGCCATCAAATTTCTGAGTGCAATATGACATCTGAACTGTCAAGCCAAAATTACTTGTCTTCTAAATTTGTTAAAACCTAAAATAGTTAAAAGAGCAAAAATTATGAGGTAACAAGAAAAGAAAAATATGGGGGGAAATGGATAAGTAAACAAGTAATGTGGTGACATAACAAAAGAAACTGATGTAAAAAAAAATAAGGGAAAATTTGAAGAAAAAGAAGAGAAACTATGTGTGAAAAAATCTCTAAATGATTTGACTTCCACTAGTAGAAGGAGGAGATTACTTTTTAAAAAATAGTGGAACTCCCAGACACACCAAAAACTTTAAACCTACGTGTCAGATGACAGTAAACTGCATCAACACTCTAGTTTTCGATGTACAATCCTTGCACGCCTCTACCTCTTCTTTTCTGCAGCACTGTTCACTATCCACCGCTCAAACTCCACATCATACCCACACACTTGTGTGTGTGTGTGTGTGTGAGACTAATTGATCTTGTGTGAAGGGCAGAGCTCTAGTGGCAAAGCCGTGCTCTCTCACACCGGCAACAACATATCCACAGGAGAGAAACAGCAGCACAGCCTATAAATAAATAACCAGACACAGAGAAGCAGAAAGGAGAGAGATGGCGATGTGGAGAAGGGGATGGAGACATTGGTGTCATTTCAAAGAAACTGTGAAAAATGTGTCTCAAGGAAGCGAAGACAAAACCACAGTGAGTGATGGCTGTGGGGGTTTCACTGAGGAAGCAGAGAGAGGGTTTAGGTGAGATGGAAGTCAGAGAGAGGATGAAAGAAGGAGATAAATGAAAAATGAGAGAGGGGCAGGAGGGTGGGGGTGAATGATGATCAATAGCCTGATAGAGAAGAGAGGAGGGAAGAAGAGGAGGCAGAAATAGCAATTAAATAGAAGAAATCAAAAAGGAATCACAAGGAATGAGGAGGAATGTGGTGTGTTAGGGTTATGTCAGGGAAGCAGTACAGACTAGATGTAAAATGGACAAAAAGAGGACAAGTGCGAGCACTAGGTTGGCTAGGATGAGAGACAACGATGAAAGAAGAATGAAATAAAGGGAGAAAAAAGGGATGGAGCGAGTGGGAGGAGGATCCTCCATATTCATCTCCAATCTTCCTCTGGGCTCTTCAGATGGCAGAGAAGAAAGATAGCTGCAGGAGTTCTCTATCGTTCCCTTTCTCCTGTCCTTCCCCTCATTCTGTATTCCTTTATTCTTTCACTCTCTGCAGGTCTTTTTTTCATTTTCTCTGTTCGGTTTGAGATACATAGGAAGGGTTTTCCTGCAAATAATGCACACCTGCTGCAGGCTGCACACGCCGGGCTTATTGAACGTCTCCGTGCTGCTCGTACTTCGCTGCTATAGATGCGCTCGCACGCACATTCATGAATATGTGAGTCCATGCACATTAATGAATTCCTACGAATACACAGATGTATCCGTATGAGCAATTGGGAGGACTTGCACACATGAAGTGAAGCCTCTTGGGACACATTTTATTGCTTTTTTTTTTGTCTTACTGCAGATAACCACAAGATGTGACATCCTATTGAGATTTGCAGGGCAGCATTAACAGTGACTAACAGCTAAAAGTTACAGCTTGCTTCATTAGATCATACAGTTTTTGAGTTCCTCAGAGTAAATGAGTAAGCGTGTACTGTTTAACATTCAGCAGTTTTGTAGCGAGAAATCTGGTTGCATAAGATTCCTGCGTCGACAACGGCCTCGGTAGACCAGCGAAGTGCACCCACAAGGTCAGCCTCTGTGAATCTGTTGGTGGTTGCATATGAAATGCAAAGTCTTTTAAAACCGGCACCATTACAGCGCTGCTCCCTCCATTCTCTGGTGAAGACAGACATATTTCAGGCAAATCACTGAAGTAGAAGAAGGTTTTCTCTGCTATTTTTTTTTACCAGAATGTTACAAAATATTTCTGGTGCTTCTTTAAAAATCACAAACTGATGAAGTGAACAATGTAAGAGAAGATTTTTTTCCTGAGCTCATGTGAAATTCAAAAGCACGTAAATAGTTAATGCCATGTGAAAACGGAGCTCTAACTTGTGGGACCGAGACCAAGCGAGGGTTACAGGATGAATGTAATGGAGGGAAAAAAAGTTGAAGAAGGGTCTTTCCACTGAGGGGAAATTCAAAGATTACTCAAATCTTTGTCTTTTCTTGTGAAATACTGGACAGATTTACTCTTGAATCTGTAGAGTATGGAGCTCTTTGGTTGAAGTACTCACAGCTCACAGACATGCTGCCTGGATCGACGGGTTCTGAATATTCATTGCTCAGCTTTAAACAAATCAAAAATGTTTGGGAGCCGG